TGTCTGCAGAGGTTATTGTGGTTGGTAGTTACCTCTTTCTTGTAAATGCCAGGTTTGTACACAAAAGGTGTGACAGAGTTAGTTTGCAAACATGTAAAAAATATATATATTTCTATTTTCTTAATTAAAAACTTGTGAAACCTGTGTCTGGTCTAGGGGATGGAATAGAGAGCATTTGTCATGTGAACCTCCAACACCCCCCTACTCCCCTCCAGCTGAGTATAAAGTTCAAAAGTCTTACAAAATCTTTGTTCAGAGGAAGAATTCTTAGACGAGCCACCTCTGAATCCTGTGGTCAATAAACCTGATTCCTGAAAATTCCTCATTATCTAGCTTCTTCTGTCCCACTTCATCAGAACTAAAATAAAAGGCCAAAAAACATCATTTTATTCAGCCTCACCTGGGGAAACTCAAATTTTGTGTTATTTTACAGATGACCAAGAGTGACCACAGATAACTATGAATATTCATTTTGAGGTTACTAATAAACCTAAGTGAAGGATTGAGTTCACAATTACATAATTTGTGAATAATAACAATTTTTTGTATTTGAAAGCTCTATTTTCTAGTGCATACCTGTTTATGTTTGTTATTATATATCCTGTTGAAAGGATCATTTTATCATTCTAGGTTGTTACTTGTCAACTTTTATCATGCTTTCTTACCTTATAATCTACTTTTCTCTATACTAATATAACCACATCAACTTTCTTTTGGCAAATGATTAAATGACAGTTTTTTTATCCTTTTAATTTCAATCTACCTATTTCTTTTTTTTAAAGCTTTTTTTTTTTTTAACACAATACCTTTATTTTGTTTGTTTATTTATTTTTATGTGGCGTTGAGGACCGAACCCAGGGCCTCACACATGCTAGGCGAGCGCTCTACCGCTGAGCCACAGCCTCAGCTCCCTATTTCTTTTTATAGAAAATGTTTTCTTTGTTGTTGCTTTTGTGCTGATTATTTTTCCTTAAATCAGATTTTTTGGTGTAGAGATTAGCAAATTTTCCTATAAATTATCAGGTAGTAAATATTTTCACTATCAACAATTGCAAGTCTCTGATGGTATTTTACATCTTCTGACTATCAAAAATAATTTAAAATGCCAAAATATTACTAACATCTATTGGTAGTTCATGTTTATGACTTAAAAATATATACACATGAATTATTATGTTTTTACTAATCGAGTAACTTCAAAGAATGAGATAATATCAAATTCAGAATAGACTTTGTTTATAGTCATTTTAACCTCTTTATAGTAAATATAATAAGAATCATTTTTATGAGTATTTTCTATGTCTGTTTCTAATTCTGGACCTTACAGATGAAACAAAATGTGTTGTTCCAGGCCTCAGTGTCATTCCGCGACGTGACTGTGGAACTCACCCAGGAGGAGTGGCAGCACATGGGTCCTGCTCAGAGGACCCTGTACAGAGAGGTGATGCTGGAGAACTACAGCCACCTTGTCTCTCTGGGTGAGCATATAAGCCTAACTTACCCTCGCAATGCCGGGAGAAGGCACTTCCTTTTTACTTACCATCATGTATGAACACCTAGCAAGTTTCATGTTATTTAGGATTTTCATTCAAGAATCCAAAGTAACTGAACTTTTAAGAGTACCACAGAGAATGTGTTGTCAGCTTTCAGTGATAAATTCAAATGTCACTTTGAGGATTCTGCTCCTGAAGCTATACCTTCTTCCACTTTTGGAAAACAGAATGCTCATGTATCTGGCCTAAGCCCTCAATTGTTCCATATTCATAGGGTACTGCATTTTCAAACCAGAGGTGGTCCTCAAGTTGGAGCAAGGAGAAGTACCTTGGTTCTCAGAGGAGGAAAGTTCAAACCAAAATGACCCAGGTGAGTTACTGAACAGATCTGTTTGCAGTAGTTATACTCCAGACGGTCAGTTTACAAGTGAACACCTTTGTATCATGAAACTTTTATTAAAAGATCAAAGTTGTAAAAACAATTAATCAAAAGGAAATGATTAATAAATCTGACTCCATTAAAGTTTAAAACTTCGTTTTAAAATATATCTTTTAAAAGGGTAAAAGACCACAGAATAGCAGAATTGGAATATAGTGAAAGTAACCTAGACAGAGTAAGCTTCCTGAAAATGTAAAGGATTTCCATAAATCAATGTGAGAAGAGGGAGACAACACAATTGAAAAATGGGCATAAGGACTAGGGCAGGGGCTCAGCGGTAGCACACTTGCCTGACATATTTAGGCATTGGGTTCAATTCTCAGCACCGCATATAAATAAATAATATAAAAGGTCTATCAACAATTAAAAATATATATATATTAAGAAAAATGGGCATAAGACTTTTAACAGAAAATATTTATTTTAGATTTATTTATTTATTTATTTATTTATTTATGGTGGTGCTGGGGATTGAACCCAGGGCCTTGTGCATTAGCGGCAAGTACTCTACCAACTGAGCTACATCCCCAGCTCAGAACAGGAAATTTTTAAAGGGTCAGTAAATCTGAAAATTTATCACATTATTTTTTATAGACTGCAAAGTGAAATAAGAGATGTAAGATAAGATTGCCAAATCTGGCTATACCAAGTCCTGGTGGGGATATGAATTATGAGAGACCAGTATTCATAGATTGGAAGTGTAAACTTGTAAAATTATTGTGAAGTCAGGAACATGTCACCTAGTCTGGTTATGTTTTGCTTACATTATAAGCAAGCAAGCCCTTTGATCTCTGTATACCCTACCAAATGTATAATTGTATTCTCTAGTATATGTAATAATATTAATGGGAGTATTGTTTATATTTGCTGAAATTTGGCTCATTAGCCACCAGGTGGAGAAATAGCTGTATTTTTTAAGGAAAAATTATGTAGCCACATGAAATTCTGTGCAATGATTATAAAGATTAACCCAACAAATTATCAATACATACATATCACTGTAATGTTACACATGAAAGTTTCATGCACTTATGTATTATTCCATGCCATGATAGCTTTTTTTGCTTTGACCAAAATATCTGATATGAACAACCTAAGGACAGATTTATTTTGGCTCAGTTTCAGAGGTTGACAGACTGCATTGCTGTGGGCCTGAGGTGAAGCAGAACATCAGGGTGGAAGGGTCTGGCAGAAGCAAAGCTGTTCACCTCATGGCAGCTGGGAAGGAAATCAGAGAGTGGAATGAGCTAAGTTTTAAGAAATACCCCTCTAGGGCTTAGCCCAGTGACTTACTGCCTATGGTTTCCACCACCTCTCAGTAGTCCATTCAGCTACCAGTGAGTTAATCCCCTGATGAGATCAGAGCATTTATGATCTGATCACTCCCCCAAAGCCCCTTTTTGAACATTTCTCTGTTGGGAAGCAAGCCTTCAACATATGAGCCTTGGGGGAAATTCCAGTCTAACCTATGATACTTAGTTTTAATGGGTGGAACATAAGTGACAAGTTACATATTTTGCAATATAAATTATCAAGACAATCATTTAGAATACATAAAAAATCTGGACCTTTCTTATGATTTCTCTTCCATGATTTCTCATTTAAAATTGAACTCGTGTGTCACATTGAAATGTGGAAACTCAGGATGGAGTCATCTTCGCTTATTGTTGTGTTATGACAAAATTAATAAAAGATGAGAGCCAAAATGGAACTGTGAATCTAATTAAGTTGCAAGAATGGATTTTCTTTTAATCAATTTATATATTGCAGGGCTAGGGCTGTAGCTCAGTGGTAGAGGGCCTGCCTAGCATATTTGAACCTCAGCACCACATAAAAATAAATAAAGGTCTTGTGTCTATCTATAATTTTAAAAAAATTACATATATACACACACACATATATAATTCATATATTGCTTGTATTTCTGTGAATCATAACTGTAAGAAAGCTAAAAACTTTTTCATAATCATATGGAAATTGGTGCTGTTATACATTTACTATTGAAAAGTTGATGGAAATGAGTGATATCCAATTGGAAGAATTTAAACAATATAGTTCATTGTAGTCTAGGTAATATCTGCACCTAGCCTGCAATTTACTTCCCAAACCAAACTTTTTCCATATTGAGTCTATTTCATGTATATTATCCCAATTTTTAATACTCTAATGAAGTTTATAGTCTTTGTTGTATTCATTCTATTCTCCACTTTTTCTGAAGCCTAGTAACCACCCCTGTGAGACTATTTTCTATTTCCTTTCCTTTCTTTTATGTACTTAGGAAATACTCATTTACTACAAATAGTATTCGTAAACAGTTTCCTCTCCCGTTTGCTCTATATTAATATTATTGTTAAAAGGAGAGTTGGTTGCACATACACATATATTTGAATTATTAGGTTTTGAGAACTCAATAAAACAGACTATGTGTATAAATCCTACTCATAAGAAGTATTTACTTCATGTGTTCAATTTTTCTTGTTTTAGAAAATTACAAAGTTGATGACTTGATCAAGAGGAACAAGAAAATCAAAGACAAACACTTAAAACAGATAATATTCATCAAAAGTAAAACATTGACTAGAGAGAGAGAGGAAATTTGGGAGAAACCATTTACCCAGCATACAGCTCCAATTTGTTCAGCAAAACTGTCCTGCAGATGTAAATCATGGGGAGTGAATTTTCAAAATATTTCTGAATTTGTCCAAAATAATAAAAACTGTTCAACAAAGAAAACAGATTGCCATAATGTATGTGAGAATTTGCCTTTCAAAATTAAGTTTGGCAGAACTCATACTGGAGAGAACTTTTATGAATACAATAAAAACATGCAAGCCCTCAGTTATAAGGAAACTCTTGATCATAAGAAGTTTCAAACATTGGAGCAAGATCTTGAAGGTAATAAGATGGGAAAAACCTGTGAGAAAGCTGACTTTGTTACACATAAGAGTGTTCACAAAGAAGAAAATTCCTGTAAAGGTGGTGGTGAATGTAGGAAAAACCTTCATAAGATAACTCTTTTTGACCATAGACAAATTAACACCAGGGAGAAACCCCTATGTCTTCACCAGTGTGGAAAGTCTTCCTTTGAGAAGTCAGCCCTGGAGGAACACAATAAATTTAACACTGCTATGAAGTATCGTGAACCTAATGCCCTTAGACATTATTTCAGCAAGCAGTCAAACCTCATTCAGCCTCAGAGAACTGTCGCAGGAGAGAATCCATCAGTATGTATCGACAGAATACACACTGGGGATAAATCCTTTGAATATGAAAATAAGAGGTCTTATCAGACACTAACCTGCAAAGTAAAGCAGAGAACTCACTCTGACATGAAACCCTATAGATGTAGTGAATGTGGGAAATCCTTTTGTCAGAAAGGCCATCTCATTCAGCACCAGAGAACTCACACAGGAGAGAAACCATTTGAATGTAATGAATGTGGAAAAACTTTCTCCCAAAAGTCCCACCTCAATACACATCAAAGAATTCACACAGCAGAGAAACCCTATAAGTGTAATGAATGTGGGAAGACATTTGTCCAAAAGTCAACCCTCAGGGGACATCTGAGAATCCACACAGGAGAGAAACCCTATGAATGTATTGAGTGTGGGAAAACTTTTGTTCAGAAGTCGACCCTCAGAGATCATCACAGAATTCACACAGGGGAGAAATCCTTTCATTGTAATGAATGTGGAAAAACTTTTGGCCAGAAATGTAACCTTAGAATACATCAAAGAACTCATAGTGGGGAGAAGACATACCAGTGTAATGAATGTGAAAAATCCTTCTGGCGCAAAGATCATCTCATTCAACATCAGAAAACTCACACAGGAGAGAAACCATTTCAGTGTAATGAGTGTGGGAAAACCTTTGCCCGGACATCAACTCTCAGAGTGCATCAGAGAATTCATACTGGGGAGAAACCATTTAAATGTAATGAGTGTGGGAAAAAGTTTGTACGGAAAGCAATCCTTTGTGATCATCAGAGAATTCATACAGGGGAGAAACCCTTTCAGTGTAATAAATGTGGGAAGACGTTTGGGCAGAAATCAAACCTCAGAATACATCAGAGAATTCACAGTGGGGAGAAAGCTTATGAGTGCAGTGAGTATGGGAAAGTGTATAAGTCAACTCTATGTCAGAGAACTCAGGGAGGAAGGAAACTCTATTGATAACTATGGAAAATATTTCTGACAAAGACGGATATGACAACAGAAGATATCCAGGAAATTCAATTGGAAATACACACACGCTAATAGTTCCAGAAATTAACCCCTACAGTACAACTGTTTACATAAGGAAAAAAACATGTGGATGTCAGCATAGGAAGAGTTCTGTCTAGAAGGCAACGCTAAGATATATCAAAGAATTCACACAGACTTCTGTTTTTTCAGAGGACAATACAAAGTCCTTTTGAATGAAGTCATACCCTTTTAGATAATTCATGCATCAGTCTGTTAATCTGTTCAACAATAAGTTTCATTTTTCTTTAAGGAACACAGCTAGTCCAAATTTTCTGAACTTCCCTTTCACCTAAGAGGGATTTGTGATAGGCTGCTGGAATGTGAATGCCTGTGATGTATGCTGTAACCAGATCTTACAAATCAGAAGTCTTCCTGAGAAGCTTCCAGGGACCTGTAAGAATAAAATGAATGATTTCTGGGTTGTCATGCCTTAATGTGGCATAGCCCAAGGTTAGAAAGTCCAGCATGCCTGAATAAATTGATAAGAGAAAAGTTGTCTTCCATATCTTTGCTGGTGAAAAATATTTTGAGCAAAATTTAGACTTTATTCTATTGAACTTTTGCATGTCTTGATGTATTTGTTTCTACATCTAGTTTAGCTCTCACCCTGTTAGGAAGGCAGAATATGGGTATGTAAACCAAGTCTAAGTCAGCCAGAGGACACCAGCATCATCAGAAGACTACTGGGTTGAGGAGTCTCTCAAGGATGATGAGAGAATTCATACAAAAGTCATCCTTTCCATATAATGAAGTAGATGGTATCACTTGGTACAGTGTATTAGATGAACCTAAAGTGTTGGGAGAGGAATTTTTGTTGGTTGATTTGGGTTGAATGGTGAGCAGCCACCATACAGCTCAAAGGAACTATTTCTTGTTGAATGGCATAAAACTACTTTCTTCAGTCCTATACCACAGCCACAGCTTCTTTAAAGAGTAAGGTTTCCTTATCAGGGCTGGAAACTTGAGTATTCTAGGGTGATGTCTGGGAAGGGAAAAGACTCAAATGTTTATGGCTTTATTGGATACAAGTGCCCAAGTCAACAACTTGCCAATTCTGATGGAGGTAGGGGCTCCTAGATTTAGCTAATGTGGTTCGGAAGGGAAACAAAAGTAACTTGGTGGATGGAACTGTTTAGGTCAGTGCAATCAATATACTGTGGTTACTTCTATATCTCAAAGTGTAGTAGTGCTGGGGATGTAGCACAGTGATGAGGTGCTTGCCTAGCATGTGTGAGACCCTTGGTTCAATCCCCATTGCCAAAAAACAAAATAAGAATCAATATGGTATATGCTCTATTTCCCACAAGTCATACAAGGAATTCCCCCAGTCAGGAAGAATGGAATGTGGAGAAGAAAATCAGCTCTTAGCTTACTCTTGGGCTCTTTTACACAGTGGAAACCTTTGGCTTCAGTAGAGGCCTCTGCTTTAAATTCCAGTTTTGGGGTATGTCATCTTGGATTCAACAACTAACAAAATGAAGATAGCCCAGCAAGCCTCAACTAGCAGAATGAAAACTGTTGAAACTGCAGATTCATAGGTCCACAGTGTCTAGCTGTACATGAAACAATAGCAGGCTTTTGTTAAAAGAGAACTTTATCTCCTCCTTTGTTACCTGAAACAAAATTTCTGGCTTAGTAGGACCCTCAGTTTGTGGAGGTCAATCTAACTGGGCCTTGTTGGCTAACTTGAAAGCACTAGAATGCTGTATCTGCTTAAATTTGTCTTCATATACTCCAAAATGAAAGTGGTCACTCCTCAGTGAACAGATCACAAGGATTTCACAACACTATCCAGTATTTCATTTCATAAACCGTGGCCTTACTCTTGGGCTTTTTTACACAGTGCATTCTGATTGACCCTTGAGCTCTTGCTGTGGCCTAGCTATTATAAATTCCAATTAGAAACTATATACAGATTAAAGGCCCTCTGTGGTGTTCTGAACTGTGGGAGAAAACAGCTGCCGAGCACCCACAGTGTGCTTCACTAGATGCCCATGATTAAACTGTTCTCTAGTGACGCTCAAGTGGAAGCAAGCTGCCGATCCAGTGCTCTCTCTTCAGATGTTGCCACCTGTGTCCATCATTGTGCTGGTATGTGAAAACATTCTGTGTCTCCACTGGGCACAAAAGTCTGTATATATCCCACATCTCTATAGGTGTCATTTGATGTAAGGATTTACCCATTTTTTCCTTCTGAATGAATAGACAATATTCCGTATACCATTTGGTTAGATAACATCTTTCTCACTGATTTTTTTCTTTTTCAAAAAAAAATTATTTTTATATATGACAGCAGAATGCATTACAGTTCTTATTACACATATAGAGCACAATTTTTCATATCTCTATACAAAGTATATTCACACCAATTCGTGTCTTCATACATGTACTTTGGATAATAATGACCATCACATTCCACCATGATTTCTAACCCCCTGCCTCCTCCCTTCCCCTCCCACCCCTCTGCCCTATCTAGAGTTCATCTATTCCTCCTATACTCCCCCTCCCTACCCCACTATGAATCAGTCTTCTTATATCAAAGAAAACACTCAGCATTTGGTTTTTTGGGATTGGCTGACTTCACTTAGCATTATCTCCTCCAACTTCCTCCATTTACCTGTGAAATGCCATGATTTTTTATGTCTTCACATATGAAATTGTTAGTTGTAAAGATATTGCATGTTTATCACCCTTACATTTGGTTTATCATTCCCTGTATTCTGTTATTTCAGTAAGATATCTTGTTCGAACTGGGATGGCACATACCTCATGAGCCAGAATACCCAATATTTCTGGTCTGATACTGAAGGATATTTGAATCAAGTTTGAAAAATGAGAATTCTAGGACTTTAGAAATGGACATCATTGACCTGTGATATTGTGACGGAGTGGCCAGCAGCCTTGCCAAGGAAATGCATCTGCAAAATAAGATAAGGTTACACATGAAGAGAAGCAGACAGGACAGGGAGATTGGTAGGTAGAGCTATAGTCCCCGAGAAGCAAAATACCATGTTTGCTCTTTATAAGAGTGCTAGAAATAAGGTCTTTCATTCTTTAAACTGTTGGGTTTTGCTTAGACATTTTCTTTAAAAAGATATATAAAATCATCTCCTTCTCTTCTCCCTTTTAAATAGAATATTTTAAGATCATGATTGGGTTTGCTGTTCAGAATTATGTACTCCCCAACCCCTAGATGGAACTAAGTCATCCAAGTGGCCAGGTAATGAAAGTCCCATGACTGGGAACTTAGGCCTTATCTGATGTCCCTTTTACACATAACACACCACCAATTAGAGATCATGGTCTGTGTTCTCATCTTGACTCTTCCTTTCCTCTCCCTTCCTGGCTGATCTTAACAAGTTGTAGTGTTATCCCATAAGATGGGTAGGACCTCACCTAGTAAACCTAGAGATGTTTATTTCTTTGCCCACCTTATGATTTTAAAAAACCTCCATGAGGACAGGAAATTGGGGGGGGGGCTATGATGTCTTATGCACATGAAACAGTCCCTTGATATATGAGACACTTGGAAATCTTTCTTGAAGATAGTTGCCAAAGGGAAATATGAACCTCTTTGATACTGTAAATTCTTTTTCATTAATTATTTTTTTTAAAAAAGTGTTACAATAAGGTCTGCATTCAACAACTTCTGTTTTAGATATTTTCTGCATTTACTAAATTAAAATTGGTTTTAGTATTCAGAACTAAGAGTACTATTCTGATCTTTGTTGCACAAAACTTTTTAGTGAACTTAAAGATTCCCAATTCAAAGGTTTTTTTCTCTATATCAGTTTATTATTATTATTAGCAGAATAGACTACAGTCTTCTTTATTTAGTTCGCTTTCACACAAATATTTTAGAGAGGTATACAAGCAATTTTGCAAAACAATTATAAAGGCAAAATCATACTTTCTAAGGTCAACCAAATCGATTAGGGGGAAAAAAAAACCTGCTGGAAATTATCCCGTTAGTCCATTTTAAGAGTAGTTCCCTCATTTTTACTTCTCAAATCATTGCCCTAAATGGTGAAAAGTTTTTATTTTTCAATTTTCTCAAGTTGGAGATTAACTCTTCAGAGAGAAGTCTGACCAGAAGAAGGGCCATAACATTTGGCCTGCTTTCCTTTTTATCTCCTATAGTTTCTCATATTGAATGTCTCCTGTAGACCAGAAGGAATTTTTTTCTCTCCGCCCACCACAGCAGCTTTAGACTTTTTTTTTATTAGCGACACATGACATTACAATGATCTTGGCAATTCATACAATTGAATCATTGGGGTATAATTTCTCATTTTTCTAATAGTACAGATTGCAGAATCACACTGGTCATAGAGTCACCTATATACATATAGCAATCATGATGTCTATTCTGCTGCCCTTCCTGTCCCCCTACTCCTCCCCTCCCCTCCCATCATTTCTCTCAATCTAATGTGACATACTTTTTTTTTCTTTTTCTCCTCACAAATTCATACATGTATTCTGTATAATGATGAGGGTCTCCTTCCATCTTCCGTGCAACTCCCCTTCTCCCTCCTTGTCCCTCCCTCCTCTCTTCCCTATTTAGTAGTTGTCTTCTTCTCATGTTCTTCCTCCCTATCCCATTTTGAGTCACCCCCCCCCCTTATATCAGAGAAGACATTTGGCATTTGTTTTTTAGGGATTGGCTAACTTCATTTAGCATAATCTGCTCTAATGCCATCCATTTCCCTGCAAATGCCATGATCTTGTTATTTTCTAGTGCTGAGTAATGTTCCATTGTGTATAAATGTCACATTTTTTAATCCATTCATCTATTGAAGGGCATCTAGGTTGGTTCTACATTCTAGCTATTGTGAATTGTGCTGCTATAAACATTGATGTGGCTGTGTCCCTGTAGTATGCTCTTTTTAGGTCTTTTGGGTATAGTAAGAGAAGGGGAATAGCTGGGTCAAAGTGGTTCCATTCCAAGCTTTCCAAGGAATCTCGATACTGCTTTCCAAATTGGCTGCACCAATTTGCAGTCCCAACAGCAGTGTATGAGTGTATCTTTTTCCCCCACAACCTCACCAGCTCATATTGTCTGAATTCATAATGGCTGCCATTCTTATTGAAGTGAGATGGTATCTTAGAGTAGTTTTAGTTTGCATTTCTCTGATTGCTAGAGATGGTGAGCATTTTTTCATGTATTTGTTGATTGTATATCCTCTTCTGAGAAGTGTCTGTTCAAGTCTTTGGCCCATTTGTTTATTGGGTTATTTGTTTTTTGATTTTTGTTTGTTTTTTGATGTTTAACTTTTTGAGTTCTTTGTATACTCTAGAGATTAGAGCTCTATCTGATGTTTGAGGGGTAAAAATTTGTTCCCAGGAAGTAGGCTCCCTATTCACCTCACATATTATTTCTCTTGCTGAGAAAAAACTTTTTAGTTTGAATTTGTCCCATTTGTTGATTCTTGGTTTTAACTCTTGTGCTATAGATGTCTTATTAAGGAAGTTGAGGCCTGCCCCCACATGATGAAGATTAGGGCCAACTTTATCTTCTATTAGACACAGAGTCTCTGGTTTGATTTCTAGCTCCTTGATCCATTTTGAGTTAACTTTTGTGCATGGTGAGAGAAAGGGATTCAATTTCATTTTGTTGCATATAGATTTCCAGTTCTCCCAGCACCATTTGTTGAAGATGCTATCCTTTCTCCAGTGCATGTTTTTAGCACCTTTGTCTAATATAAGATAGTTGTAATTTTGTGGATTTGTCTCTGTGTTCTCTGTTCTGTACCATTGGTCTACCAGCCTGTTTTGGTGCCAGCACCATGCTATTTTTGTTACTATTGCTCTGTAGTATAGTTTAAAATATGGAATCACAATACCACCAGTTTCACTCATCCTGCTTAGAATTACTTTAGCTATTCTGGGTCTCTTATTTTTCCAGATGAATTTCATGCTTGCTTTTTGTATTTCTGCAAGGAATGTCATTGGGATTTTGATGGGAATTGCATTGAATCTGTAAAGTGCTTTTGGTAATATGGCCATTTTAATAATATTAATTCTACCAATCCATGAGCAAGGTAAATCCTTCCATCTTCTAAGGTCTTCTTCTATTTCTTTTTTCAGGGTTCTGCAGTTTTCATTGTATAGATCTTTCATCTCTTTTGTTAGGTTGATTCCCAGGTTTTTTTGTTTTGTTTTGTTTTGTTTTTTTGAGGATATTGTGAATGGAGTAGTTGTCCTCATTTACATTTCAGAGAATTTGTCACTGATATACAGGAATGCCTTTGATTTATTGGTATTGATTTTATATCCTGCCACTTTGCTGAATTCATTTACTAGTTCTAGAAGTTTCTTGGTTGAACTTTTTGGGTCTGCTAGGTATAGGATCATGTCATCTGCAAATAGTGCTAATTTAAGTTCTTCTTTTCGTATGTTTATGTCTTTAATTTCTTTCATCTAAATGCTCTGGCTAGTGTTTCAAGAACTATGTTGAATAGAAGTGGTGAGAGAGGGCATCCTGTCTTGTTCCAGATTTTAAAGGGAATGCCTTCAGTTTTTCTCCATTTAGAATGATGCTGGCCTGAGGCTTAGCATATATAGCTTTCACCATGTTGAGGTAATTTCCTGTTATCCCTAATTTCTGTAGTGTTTTGAACATAAAGGGATGCTGAATTTTGTCAAATGCTTTTTCAGCATCCATCGAGATGATCATATGGTTCTTATCTTTAAGTCTATTGATGTAGTGAATTACATTTATTGATTTCCATATATTGAACCAGCCTTGTATCCCAGGGATGAATCCCACTTGGTCATGGTGCACAATCTTTTTGATATGTTTTTGTATCTGATTTGCCAAAATTTTATTGAGGATTTTTGCATCTATATTCATTAGGGAAAGTGGTCTGAAGTTTTCTTTCTTTGAAGTCTTTATCTGGTTTTGGAATCAGGGTGATGTTGGCCTCATAGAATGAATTTGGAAGTACTCCCTCTTTTTCTATCTCCTGAAATAGATTGAAGCGTATTGGTATTAGTCCTTCTTTAAAGTTCTTGTAAAACTCTGCTGTATATCCATCCAGTCCTGGGCTTTTCTTGGTTGGTAGTTTTTTGATGGCTTCTTCTATTTCTTCACTTGATATTGGTCTGTTTAGGTTGTTTATATCCTCCTGACTCAATCTGGGTAGCTCATATGCCTTAAGGAATTTATCGATGCCTTCAATATCTTCTATTTTATTAGAGTATAGGGTTTCAAAATAATTTCTAATTATCTTCTGTATTTCTGAAGTGTCTGTTGTGATGTTGCCTTTTTCATCCCGTAAGCTAGTAATTTGGGTTCTCTCTCTTTTTCTCTTTGTTAGTATGGCTAGTGGTCTATCAATCTTATTTATTTTTTTCAAGGTACCAACTTTTAGTTTTGTCAATTTTTTCAATTGTTTCTTTTGTTTCGATTACATTGATTTCAGCTCTGATTTTAATTATTTCTTGCCTTCTACTGTATTTGCTGCTGATTTGTTGTTCTTTTTCTAGGGCTTTGAGGGGTAGTGTGAGGTC